ACTCTTGGAACAGTAGTGGGGCGAGCAATTGGAATCTGTTGGCTGGGTCCTCCTTGGCGTATAGTCACGGTTGAAACGCAGGGTCTCTAGCTAATCCCCATCCTTGAGCACCTGTCCGAGCTCTGTTGATGATTAAGACATCACTGGTGGACAGGAGGATCATGGCACCCATGATACGCCCGACGGGCATGTCCTCCATCAACCACTCCGGTGTAGGTAAAGTGACTTCCATCCTTCCGCAGCTCTTCGAAGCTGACGCTGTACAACTTCACGTATCTGAAGCGCCTCCGCAGACAAGCACCTCGGCGATTTCGAATCCGTTTTCATAAGAGAGGGGCAGTAGAACTGCAGAACGAGCAGGTGGGTAGTAGTTGCTAGTGTTCCCGACGAGTGTGGGATACTTTCGCAGCACAGCACCAGTTGGGGGGTTGAGAAGAATCAAGTCTTTCGTAGCAAAAATATACAAGTTTTCCATCTGGAAGAAGTTCCACGTATGGATACAAGTTGTCGTACGTTGGGTTTTTAAAAAGATCCAAGGGAAACACACACTCTCCTGGAAACACACCTCTTTGAAACGAATTCGTAAGAAGAAAGCATTGCGATCTCCAACGACAATCATGGTCTTTCCATCGGGTAGCAGTTGATTTGTGGCATTCCAACGATATGCCTGCATCTTCTATGAGAGTCTTCCATGATCCATGCTGAGCGAACACGAGATTAAACGAAAAAACACCATTCCAGTATAGCTGCAATAGCTGCAACCAAGATTCGCAAAAACACCGCGCTCGTAAAAGCGAGGCATTGTTTCACCAGACTTTCTTCGCCGGCTGGAACAACAATCGTGTGTAATCTATAAAATAAATAAAGAAAGAAAGAAAGAAATATAGTGGAGTTGTTGATTGACATGCTAAAATTATTTACAAGACTTTAAAATGTAGAAACATTGCAAATACATAACAACTAATATGTTGTACATGATGGTGATCAAATAATAAGATTTGGTTGTTGAATTTTTCTATAAGATTTATCTTCAATTTAAATATATCAAATAATATATTTTAAAAATGTAGACACTTAAAATTTATTTTCAAAGAATATATTAACAAATGTGTTAAGCTAACCTAGTACTTTAAATAGTTAAGATATTTGATTTTTTGACATTTGAATACAACCTAATTATCTAGCTCAAAGAAATTACATCTGATTTTAATAGATATTTAAATTTCTTTTTTAATTTTAATATATATATATATATATTAAATTTAACAAATTGAAGTGTATTCTTAATACTAGTAGAATTATTTTTGGTTAACTAAGTAAATTTTTAAAATCTTAATTGTTGTGTTGTATAATACATTTTTTCAGCAAAATATATTTGATGTTTTATAAAATAACTAAAATTCTATAAAGAAGTGTATTATGAAGAGTTGTCAATTCTTAAGAATTATAAAGATTACAACACCCAAATTTTTAATAGATAATATAATTAAAGCTAAAAACTTTTTTAAATGTTCTAGATATTTATCAAATTATATTCTAGAATTAATAATAAATTTTTATTATTTAATAAATTCTTAGTTTTAAGTAATCTTTACTATTCAATTTTAAAATATTTAACATTTAATATTTGTGATTTTTATATATGTAATTTTTTTAATCAATTTTATTTTTAAAAAGAATACAAGTTTATATAAAAAAAACTATATAAAATTAAATTTATAGTATTGATATTTTTTAAATTATAATTTTTTTGTAATTTATGTGTTAAAAATAATTATTACTTAAGAAAATAAAGAGGTTTAAGTAACACAAACCAAGTTGTCTTGAAGTGCTTTGAACTATAAAAAAATAGTATTATAAAAATAATTTTTATACCATGTTATAGAACCAAAAATATCTAATTTAAACAAATGATTGATATTATTTTTTATTATGCCATAGACAAAACAAAAAAAAAAAAAAAAAAAAAAAAAAAAATTGTTGGTTTTTTACTAAGCGAATATAGGAAATTATAGTAAATTATTAAATTTTCTATATTATCATTCCAAATTTGTATTGTAATAATGTTTTTGTAAAAAGATGAAGCTATTTTATTTTTATAATTTGGAAAAATGACCATCATAAAAAATCATTAAATTATATCTTCAAAATTTTTAAATATAGAAGATTGTAGCTACACAAACACCTCAACTTGTTATACACACATTTCAAATTGCTATATACACTCCAAGTTGATATACACACCTAAGAAAATAAAAGACTTATTTGTTGAATTGCTAAATTGATCGGCTCTTGACCACTCACTCGCAACCTTCTTCCTTGTTCTAGCACAATACTTGGATCTTTTTTCTATCTTCTTTATCTCAGTATAAATCTCAAACCTCTTCTTTCTCTTTCTTACATTGGAGCAAGGAAGAAGGGAAGGAAGTTGAGGACTTGCATTGGGACAAAGTAGAGTGAGAAGAGGTTCAAAGCATGCTTAAGACCTTGTTTTGTCATATTTATAACCTACATCACAATATTTAAGCAAAGCAACTAATCAAAGCATTAGATTTGTATATAGACATAATAAGAGTGCATATAGTAATTTGAGGTGTGTATGTAGCTTAAGCCATTTTTAATTAATAGATAATTCTAAAAAGCAACTATTAAAAATAAATTAATAAACTTACATATTATACATATGTATATTTGAAATTATTATATACATATATATATAAAGTAACATATCACAAATATTCTATATTACTTCTAACAAAATAAAATTGTTATAAAAAATATTATTAAACAATCTTAATGCTACTGTACAAGGTGCCATTGAGATTGCTTGGCATAAATGTGATGTTTCTTTATTGAAGCAAAATTAATCAACAATAGATGGGTGATGCTAAAAAATTTACGTTTTTAATATTTAATTTTAAATAAAAATATTATTTGATTATTTAAAATTAAAATTTATATTACAAATAATAATAAAATAATAATAGTGTAATAATTTAATTATTATAAGAAGTAAATAACAGAAGTTTTGAAATTTTTAGTAATATATAATAAATGCTTTTAAATTTTAAAAGTTATAAATTATAAATTTGGTTTTTGTATGCAATTTCAATTAAACAAATGTTTTTAGATGTCATTTCCATTCACTAGTATGCAGATTTATTGCATTGGCATTCTTTACTATGGTACCTTTTAATGAACCAACAATCATATAACACACAAAGATATAAAATATTCTAACATAATAGAATCAGAATGATAATCTACAAAGATAATAAATCATACAACATAAAAAATTATACAATCTTTTATTCTTTTGACATTCCTTTAAAAAAAGAAAAGAAAGGAAAAGAAACTCTTTCTTTTGTTCATACACACCAATGAGCTAAAACACCACTGACTATTTCATTTTTATTAGTAAAACTTTTTAGAATCAGATCAGATTCTTAGGTATTGTAATCACAAATTAATACAAATCATTTTCATAGTAAATAATAATAAATTTATAGATTTCAGTGACGAATTTGATTTTTATTTTTTTCTTTTATTCATTTTTTCTCTTGTAGATTACTTGTGAGTGAATTTTCATCTGCTTTATCATACATCCCAATTCTATGTAAAGCTGGCCACGGTTGTGCTTACTAATCCAACCTTTCACTCCACCCAAGTATCAATGAGGGCTTGCCAGCTCATCCCCCTCAGTTATTCGCCACGTGGCAAATTGCCACGTCGATCGACACCTCATCGGTTTTTTTTACCATGCATAATTTTATCGACCTAGACAAGGACGATTGATGACGTGGCACATGGGGGAGTGAACAAGGGTATTGGCCTTGGATTCTAGTGATGACTGCATGGTCTTGCACGGTCAAGCCTAACAAACAAAATAAAATAAAATAAACTTGAACCCTTCCAAAGCTTATATAATCATTAAATGAAACCATTTACAAAAGCATTTGAGGAACTAAGAATGTTTAGTTTTGCAAGCAATTGGTTATGGGGAAAGGTAAGACTTTGATTCTTATGATATAAAGTTATGTTCACTATTATTTTAGTGATGGGATAGAAGAGTTGAGATGTTGAAATTATGCTTTAATGATGCTTAGAGATGAACTGTAGTAACACACAACATATAAAAAATAAAAATGAAATGAAATGAAAAACCTTGTTGAGATTCGTGGTGATTCAATAACAGTGATACTCCTCACAAATCAAGGATTATGACCCACATAGACATGTTTTTTTTTATCATAAATAGCAAGCTTGCAATCCATCCACATATTAAAAATAGCCAAGTTAATTTAATTTAGTTTGGTTCTTTACTAAAATTAATACAAAATTTCTTCCTACATTGAACTTATGTTACAATTCACCTACACGAGAGAGAATTAACTATGAAATTACAGTCACACTTAATCCTTAATACATTACAACCGCACAGATAATTATCCACAGTTTGTTTTCCCCGCAGAATGAATATCATATACTATTCTTGGGGAGACATCATGAATTCATCTACCAAAAGTAAAGCAAACAACAAATCTAGAGTTCTAATCCCAACGGCGGCACAAAATCCGAAACCCTACATCAAAACTCAATTGCGGAGGTTTTGCGACGCAGAGGTCGGCGTCGCCTTGTTCCGAAGACTGTGCATCGCGGAGCCGAGGTAAATTACGCCGCAATAAACCGCCGCGCGACATGATCCAAGCGTTGGAACGCAAACCCATGAAGTGAATTTCTTCAAGTTACCGAGCAACCCGAGTTGTTCCAGTGACAATGGTCGGCATTCTCGGGTGCCATCTGGCTCGGCCAGCCACGAAGAAGACGGCATTTTCTATTCGTGTGTCCACAGAAACTTATAATAGTATGATACCGAGGTTCCGAAACAAGAGGCTCTATTTACAAAGAATTAAAAAACGGTGAGAGTTTCAGCGGGGTAGGTGGCACACTGCCGCTCCGCCCCGTCAACAAGCCAGCTGGGGACTGTCGCCACTCTTGTTTTTTTCCCTCTTGTGGAGTGGTGTTTTTTGTTTTGTTTTGTTTTGTTTTTTTTGGTTCTCTCCTCTATATGTGAGACGGATTTTGTGAAGTAACTAATTGCAATTGTTGCATGGGACGTTGCTTCTTGTGCTGTAACAGCCAGACTCGGGGATAAGTTGAATTGAAGATCAAAAGATCGCCATTAAATTCAACTTTTCTGGGTGCTTCATTCGGCATTGAAGCTTTTGGATAATTGGGTGAGTCCTCTGCCATTGTGCTGTGGTTTAGTTTTTGAACACGGCTTTGTGGGCGATGGGTGAGAGTGTTTGGGAGGGTTTATGAGTTTCTGAGCTGAATCGGGAGGTTGTGGTAGATTTTCTTTCAAGGATTCTTCGTGTTGGAGGTGAGGATGCGCGTTGTAGATGTTGGTGGAAGTGTTCGAAGAGTTTGTGTCATGGAGTGTTGTTTTGAGGGAATTCTGGCTGTCTTTAGGGTGTGACATTAAACGTGATTGAGTCTTTAGATGCTTGATATGTTACTTGCTGTATCAAGTTGACAATTACGAGGACTTGGTGGTTGTATCTTGTATGGGTGAATAGTTAAAAACAGGACATTGTGCGTACCTGAGGTTTGGAGACATTGTTTCTTAGTTACCCCCCTCCCCCATAAATCATGGTAGTGCAATGCGGTTAATGCTGTATCCATACGCGCTGGGTGACTTTTGTAGGGTGGAGCATAAAGATTTGGGGAGTGCAAGAGGGCGAGTTTCAACGACCACTGGAGCTAGCTTTCTGAATTTTTGACGAAATCTTTTTGGAATTTCTTGCGTTCAGAGTTTATAGTCAAGATGGTGCTCACTCAGTCAAGAAGCATGAAGGATTCCAACACTCACACCATAGACTCTATGTTCGCTACTCGTTACGTCCAAGCCCCCCTTCCCAGGTTGATATTCTGATCCTAAGTCAAAACTTGATCTCTTTCGCCCTTCCAAGAGGACTTTATTTATCGTTTTTCTGAAGGTTACTGAATCATCCAAGGATGATTGCAGTGAAAAATATTGACGGGGATGGATACTTCTCACAGGATTTAAAAAAACTCTTCGCAAACCTTGAGCACTCCGAAGTAGACGTAGGCCTTACATGCAGCAAAGTTATTTTGTGTGCATTCTCCTCGAGTTCACCAACTGACACTTGCTTGTGGTAGATGGAGGCTGCCGGATAACGAAACACCCAAGGATGCAGCCTCCCAAGTGATAAACGATGAGTTGATGCTGGATGGCAATCCCCGTTTGAATCTGGCGTCGTTCGTAACAACGTGGATGGAGCCTGAGTGCGACAAGCTGATTCAGAAATCATTGAACAAGAATTATATCGACATGGATGAGTACCCCATTACTACGGAAATTCAGGTGAAATTGCTTTCCAGGACACATACTCAACAAGCAGCAAAATGAGACGGGGAAGCATAGACAGATGCTCAAGTGTATAGACATTCTCGTTGTAGATTCTGTAAGGATTCAAATTGTCTTGAAGTGTTCTAGCATGAGTTTTCGGCCTGCAGCTCATTGATGCATTTTCGCTCAGGACCGATGCGTGAACATGATTGCACATTTGTTCAAAGCCCCTCTAGACGACGGACAACCAGCGGTTGGAGCTGGCACAGTAGGGTCCTCAGAGGCCATCATGCTGGCAGGCCTAGCATTCAAGCGCAAATGGCAGCTTCAGCGAAGGGCCGCCGGATTACCTTGTGATAAGCCCAACATGGTTACAGGCGCCAATGTTCAAGTCCGTTAATCTCTTCCTCTGCCTTGGATGTTTCACTGCTGGTGCTTTGGTTTACATTTCTTATTTGATCTAGTGTGTATTTGTTTTTTGATTTATTTATTTTTTAATTTTTAGAATTGTACCTTCACAGGTTTCATTAGCTACTCTGCTATGCTGTTCTTTGTCTTTTTCTTTCCTTTTATTGTTATTTGGGAGCAATCTATTTACCATTTGGTTATATAAATTTAATATTAAGTGTACCACTCCAAAATGCAGGTCTGCTGGGAAAAGTTTGCGAACTACTTTGAAGTAGAGATAAGAGCTGTGAAACTCCGGGAAGATTACTATGTTATGGACCCTGCAAAGGCAGTTGAGATGTGCGATGAGAACACGATTTGCGTATGTGCCATCCTTGGGTCAACCTATAACGGAGAGTTTGAAGATGTTGCAACTTTAAACAATCTTCTGGAAAAGAAAAACAAAGAAAACGGGTGAGTTGCATCATTAACCCTTTCCACCATTCAATCACAAACATTACCGCATAGGCTTGCATTACAAATATTTTGAAGTGTATTGGATTTGTTAGTTCAGAACCTCTGTCGTGAAAGCAATCATGCCTTGGTCAACTTCTTACAACTATGTTAATTGATGGGTCGGTCTCTGGTGCAGGTGGAACATTCCTATTCATGTGGACGCTGCTAGTGGAGGTTTTGTTGCTCCATTTATGTATCCAGATCTTGTTTGGGACTTTAGGCTGCCGCTAGTGAAGAGCATTAATGTCAGTGGCCACAAGTATGGGCTGGTATATGCTGGTATTGGATGGGTGGTATGGCGCTCTAAAGAAGACCTCCCCGAGGAGTTGGTTTTTCATGTCAATTACCTGGGAGCTGACCAGCCTACCTTTACCCTCAATTTTTCCAAAGGTTTGTAGAGCTCTCTGCTTCATGGCCTCTTTACAATTGACAGATTCTCCATGGATTGTGATTTATATTCACCCAAACAATCGGCAATTTTAATGAGATGGGAATTGTAAAACTGAACCTCAAGATCTTCCACTGTTGAAACACAAGATAGTAATGTTGTATGCCATTTAATTTTCAACAGTAGTTTGAGCTCGCCTCTATGGATTTTCCAGTTAATTGGTGTTTGTTGTGACTGGCAGGTGCTAGCCATGTCATCGCACAGTATTACCAATTCATCCGGCTCGGCTTTGAGGTAAATTTTCTCTCTTAAATGCATACCTTGGTTGAGATTAGCTTGATACATTCATAATTATGAAGACAAGCCACAAGATTCACTGAAACCTATGCAGCGGCTGATCAATCTTTCCATGTCTTCAATTACAGTAATCTATGTCCAATCCATGCGCAGATCTTAGTTCTTGTGTCCAAGTCTCTAATGGATTGATTAACTTGAGTAGCTTCTTTTACCATGGAGTCAAAATTCAATGTAGCTCTACTGCAACACAAGTTTTACGATGAGATTCATGTTGTCCTGGTCTTCAATTTGTTCTGCTTTGTAGTCAAATCATCTTCCACTGTATTCTTTCAAGCTGTTCAGTGATTCATATAAATTGCGGCCGTTCAATTGTCACCGTTGTGTAATCGGCATAATCAGCCTTCAATATTTCATGAATTCGACTAGAACTCAAACTGTTCAAATGGCGAGGACAGGGTTACAAGAAGATCAACATGAACTGCGCAGAAAATGCCAAATTCCTAGCAGACGGCATAGTTGCAACTGGGAGGTTCAAGCTCCTGTCTAAGCCTGTAGGCGTGCCACTCATCGCCTTCTCCCTGACCGATCGCAGCAGATTCGACGAGTACGACATAGCTGATGGTCTGCGCCGCTACGGGTGGACAGTCCCCGCCTACACAATGGCTCCTGATGCGCAGCAGATCACTCTACTGCGTGTCGTTGTCCGAGAAGACTTCAGCCGCTCCCTTGCTGACCGCCTCATGACAGATTTAAAGAGAACCCTGGAGACATTAGATTCACAACCCCCGAAGCTGGTGCAAGCAGTTTCGGAGGCCATTCAACTTCAGAACCCGGAGCTCGCTGAGCCTGATCTGTCAGTTGACCAGATTAAAGAGGCTACAACAGTCCTGTATGGGTCATTTAATGAGACTGTTAAGAAGCATGCTCATTATCATCACCACAAAAAGCAGCAGAAGGCGCACCAGAAACACTCGATCCACAAAACTAATGCCGTTTGCTGAGCTTTCAAGTGCAAGATGGAGCCCATTGCTGTGCAGATGACGTTGTGCAAGAGTGTATGACAGTGAGAACCCACATACTCTTTTGTATTATATTGAAAATCAGACTAGGGTCTTAGCGGTATAGACCTGGCCTAAATAGAAATCCTAAAACAATGAAATATAAAACTAACCTCTGTTGATAGCTATCATCAGACGACGTATTTTTTTTTAGTTGCTTTTGAATATAGTCATGCTATGTTTACCCGTGTGGTTTCTTTATTCTTTTTTCTTCCTTTCTTCTTGGTTATATTTGTTAGAACCACACCACCACAAAGTATCAATTCAATGAAGAAGAAAAATGCAATGGATCATAAGAAGACTGTACTTCTGAATCACTATGCGCTTAATGAAGTATTAGGACCATAGTATTATAAATGGCAGGTGGGTAATTGAAACTGTAACGGTCTGTTGTACATGAATAACTCGGCACTGCCATACCAAGTCATTTGAAGAGAATGCAGCTTCAGTAATGTATTCCTCAAAAACAAAGGTTGCGATAACCATTAGAAAAAAAAAAATCTCAATTATGAAGTGTTCTCTGTTAAACAAATGTAGGCAGCACTTACATAAATAAGATTTTATAGATTAATATCTACTACCCAAAATTATCTACAATGGTTCTAACAGCTTTATTTGGTAATTTTGTAAATATTTTTAATTTAGTCTTCTTAAGTCAAGAAAAATTTAATAATGATATTAATTATTGATTGAAATTTGAAACACTTGTATATGAGAATTCATAATAATTCTTAAATTTACAAAAGTCATTAGCAATAATGTCTTACTACTAACTACACCTCTCATGGCATTGTAAGCACAAAAAAATGTCTCACAACAGTAATTAGAAAAAAAAAAACATTATTTATTTAAAGATGAATTTGTAATAAAAAAAATCTTTTCATTTTTCAAGGATTAACATGTTTTAAAATATTTTGCATAATTTTTGAATTTAAAATATGTTCTTGTTAACTATATGTATATATACAAATATGTAATAAGACTCATAAACAATTGAAAAGAAAACTAGAAGTCAAAAAAAAGGTGAATTTTTATATTAGAAAGATATTGTAATTAGTATTTCTTTGTTCAAAGAAACTAGAGAATCTTAAATTAAGACTAGAAAATAACAAAAACGTTAGCAAAACTAAGAAATATATCAATTTTGATTCTATAAATATTTTCTAACAATAATGACATGTGAAAGCTTTTTAAAAAGCACAAAACTTGTGGAACAAGTATAAAAGTTGTAAAATACTTCCATAATATGTTTTTAGAAGTATAAGACTAATTAAAGTTACTTCTCAAAAAAGTTATGGTCCATCTATAGATCTGATGTGTATTTAAGAAGTTTCTTTTTTGACTTCTTAGAAGAATGTTATATATCTAATTCATTTCTATCAACTTTTGATTATTTCTATTTACTCCTATTTATTTATAACATATATTGTTTTTAAGTTGTTAAAGTAAAATATATAACAATTGATATATATATATATATATATATATATTTATATATTTATATACATATTGCACCATAATCCTCAATGGGTCCTTTAAGCTATTAATAATAACTTACATGTAGATGAAAAAACTATCTAATTATTTGATTATTGTCTAAAATTGTAGTGTTAATATTGTATCTATGCAAATATATAATCTATTTCTATTTACTTTACTTATTAAAAATTAAAAATAAGAATAAAACCTTTTTCACTACTAATAACTTTGTATAAGATACAAAGTATATCATTTTGGTTGAAAATTAGCTATCTCAAAAGTAAAATTGTTAAGTATTAAAAACCGATGATGAGGTTTACTGAAACAGGTATCTATGATTGATTTTTGACAAAGTAAAGCTCAAGTCTACTATATGGCCTTTTACATAGAGTAGTAATTTGATAGTAAACTTTCAAGAATTTTCATGTTATTTCGGAGCTCTCCACAAATGAAGCCAAGATTTTTTTCTTTACTTCTCATTGAATGACAAAATGATATAAAATGCGAAATTTAGCTTACACTTAAAATTTAAATTTAGAACCATAAAAGTTTTAAATTATTGTTTTAGTCTAATATTATACACATTTTTTGATCAATGTCAAGTCTGATAAGGGGGTATAAAAAGATATTTTTCACTGTGGATCCATACTTTCACAACATTTGACATCCACAGCAAAAGCTCATTCCACTGATTTGGATCCAAATCATCTACTCGTGCACTCTGTCGAATGTGGTTGGAACGAGCAAAAAACCACACTACTACATCAACTTGATTTGAGAAGGGTATCACCGCATAAGTTCAAGTAGAGTCTGGAATTCAACTTTCAAAGTAAAGCGGACTTGAGTCCAAGATCAACAGGATTTAGAAACAAGTTCATGAGGTTGAGTATTTCAGATCTCTGTCTAGGGAAAATTTAACATGAGCAGATATTGTCAGTACATACTAGAAAGGAAACATCAAAAGAAGTTTGACACAGGAAAGAAATGAATCACTAATTAATTGAAACCAATGTACCTCAAACACGAATGGAAACCGGTTGATATACAGCAAAACAAGAGCTGCGTAACATACATAGATGCAACCCCCAGGTAGCACCATACAGAAGCTTGAGAGGCCATTTTCACTGAACACCAGGAAAAAGCAGCTTTAGTCCCACTAGAAATCTAAACATACGCTTGCTTGCTTGCTTCAGATAGCACCAACGTACGACATTTTTCATGCAGCTACTTTCTCCCTCGAAAACTTTAAAAGAGTTGCCTCCAAGCAAATTATACCTGAATTTTCTTCTACTCTAGCAAAGGGCTACTGCGCAGCTCCTGCCTGAGATTGGTCTTGACTAGGCCCGTCAGTGCGAAACCCTCTCCCCTGACCTCTACCCTGACCTCGACCTCTGCCCCTTCCTCTGCCGCGATCTGCATTGTATTGAGCAATTATTTTCCCTAAAAATCATAACGGAAGAAAAAGATTCGAAATAATAACCTTTTACGCAAACTAAATACCAAAGTTCTACTATGAAAAATCCTGACCACTTACACAACACGTCGTCATTAAATCACCCCAGATTATACGCTGAAATGTAGACTTTAACATACAAAAGGTGCTACCAGATGAAACTATTTAGTGTAATGTGCTTCCTGTTCAGTAGCACTTGCACACTCTTGCACACGCACTAAGTCTAGCAAGCGTACATCGCAGGAAACGGGTCCAATAATTTTACTACCTTTTGTAAAAAAGGCAATTGACGATGAGCTACATTTCAAGAACCATTAAACCAAAATAGCATACATACACTAGAAAGCATTTGAGATTACACATACCTGAGTATGACATATCCTGAGAAAAGCCATTTCCCTGATCTCGTAGGGGCCCATCAGCATTAGGCTCGTCAAAGCCACCAGCATCTTGCTCTCTGCCTCGACCACGGTACTCGCCACGACCACGACCACGTCCCCGACCACGGCCGCGGACCCAACCACCATCAAGTCCTCCATTGTACTCAGAATTTGCCGTTTCATTGGCTGTCACGGTAGCACAGCTGAGAACATGGCAGGGACCTCCACTATTGCTACATCAAAACACAGTAAAACAAACACAAACAAAAGTACCATAGGACATTAACATATTAAATACTAACAATACTACAGAGCAAATACAAAAGAAGAGGACGAGTATGAAAGCAAGCCCACCTCCTCGGCCCCTACCCCGTCCTCTTCCTCTGCCTCTACCACGACCTCTGCCTCCCCGTGGTGAGCCATCTGAACAGATAGTAAGACCACCATTAAGCATAAGAACATACATGATTGATCGCTGATAGGCACCGGAAATTTACTAAGGAAAAAAGATACTAATACCACATCTCAAATACATAATGAACCTACGAACTCTAAGCATTAACACATTTTCGTAAAGACCGTTGATACGCGTAGTACAATCCAAAAGACAACAAATGATAGTTACAACACTTCCGATAGTCATGCAGACTACAAGGCAATGGGGTTACCTCCTTCATACTCAAATTCTGCTAGCGGTTTGACCTGGTCTGCGAGGAGGGGAGGCTGATAGCTGCCCAAGCGTTTTGAAACATTGAGAAGTCAGACATGAAACTTTTGAATAAAACATAATTCAGTGCCTGATTGAAGAGATCATGGACAATCTGATATTGAAAGTGTTAACACATTAACACCATCACCATCCAAACTAAAAAGTCGGCTAGTTGGTAATAATTCAAATAATTTAATCACGAAAATCAAAACAACTACTCGCCGCTATGCGATCTTGAAACAATTCAAAATAAACTAGGAACCTCACCCGGTAGAATTCTCCAACTCCTTGGTAGACAGTGTAATCGTAATCATAGACACGTGTCGAGTGGTTTCCAATCTGCAAAGAAAATTGCAAAACTTCTGCGATACATTAACAACAAGTAAAAGTATTCAAGCAAATGAAGTGTTCTAAAACCGAATTAAAAAAACGTAAGAGATGCTTACGGTAGAAGTCCTTCTTCAAGTGGTTCCCAAAGGTCCGTAATGTCAGTAGATCCAATAGACGTATTTTGGTGAAGACCAGCAATCCTCCTCTGAACACATCAAAACCATGTTATAAGCAATTTTAATACGATTTTACGACTACAACTATTCGTATTACGCGTTCCATGAGAAATGACTATGAATCTAGTTTTCGAGCAAAAAATTACCTATTCACTCCCTTAACCTCCGCCACACAGTAGATGTAAATTAACTAAATTCCTCTAGTTTAGGGTCTCTTCAAATATACCTAATGGTGTACAGTTACCTTGCAACATTCGCTTGATAACGAAATGTTCAATAAAGCAAATACCTTGATGATTTCTGCAATAGTAACTGCCTTATTGATAGCTCGGCCCATGGCCTTCAGAACAATCGCTGATGCTCCCTTATCCTGCACAATCAGTACTCAGAGTAAGAGAACAGTTTAGAGACATCATCATACAGAATCAATGAGCCTTCGTTGAGCCACCGGAAAATGACCATAAGTTTGCACTTTAATAATAAACCATTACCATCAGCGATAATTGGAACAGACATAAGAATATAGACAAGATCTCGTCATTCAAAAACACAAAATCACTTGTACATAACAGCGCTGGCACCTGGACTGTAGGCCTGGGTGAGAGACTGCTTTTTATAAAAAAAACAAGAAGCTATTCCACAACTCCCACATGACATAGTTCTCTCAACCGCCTATAAATTGAAGGGAACACACTAAGGTTTTCATTAAACACGGAGCAAAGATGCAAGTTTCCAAAGAGCTACGATTGCTATAATTTGTCAACAATGCGCAGCCACTCTAAAAAGCAGACTGAAAAAGTAGTACAGGCTGACAAATAATGTAGCCACGTTGGGACCTGGTTAAGGAGATGATACTTGAATAATCCAATTGTACGAATCATAGCAAAAAGACAAAAATCAGAATGACTTCCTCAAAGGGCTCCAAAGACGCGACAATTGTTCAATTTTTCGGTACATACATGGTAGACGTAAGAAAACGAGGCTGTTATCACTTTCAATTCAATTATTCGATGGTATACAATATGAAGCTTGGATCATCTATTGAGAGTTTAACAAGAACCAAAGAAAATGTATTCGTAGGGCTACTAAAATCTTAAGGAATGATAGTGATGATGACCTGCAATAGAGTGGTTGCATAGGTAATGTAGTTCCGCATTTTTCCTTGCGTAGTAATACGGATTTCATTTTCACTGATAGGTATTTCGGGCCGCGGCTTCTCCACCCGTTGGTACCGATCCATGGCGTGCTCCGCCTGGAATTATCAGATAGCCTGGTTCGAAAGTCCTCGCAGCCGAAGAAATAGTGAAAGTCTTTGAGAAAAACCTATCACACTTCGAGGAAAAGCAATCGCAAATCAGCTTGTAAAATTCTTACAGAAGAAAATTGGCTTAAACTGGAGTTTGTATTGACTCTCGACATACCAGACTTTAGGGATACCACGCTCACACTGCTCTACTTCGTGAAAAATCAAGAGCACGATGCCGCTTCTATGCAATGACGTCTATACGTTACAGACGATACGAGTCTTTAATAGCAAAGTGGAACAACTGTAAGGAAATTTCCAGCGGCCAAAATGCAATGCCAAGAATGTGACCCTTAGGACGTGCACACGCACAAGAAATAAGAAAAAACTCTGAAGCCTTCCCCTCCAAATGAAAATGCAAGATAATGGAAGTCACAAACCTAAGCGGTCAAGGAAACAGGGGAACTCACCACCAACCTCTCGACTCTCTCACAAGCATGAACCAACACACTCCGATACCGTAACACCTAACTGAACAGCAAGCCTCTAGAAACGAACTAACGAAACCACGGATTACACAAGCACCAACTCTACCAGAAAACTACCACCACGATATACACAGTCGCCATTACTGGAAGAACACATCACTCATCGACAAAAATACTACATTACAGAATCACAACAACAACAACAACAACAACCAGATAAATAAATAAATAAATCATCGCAGCGGAACCTCTCGCCCTACCTCTCCAAAACACATTATAAAGCCATAGATGCGCATTATAATCCAATCCAGAACACCTAAACTAAAAAATCGCATTCCGATTGCAGCAACACAAAAAAGGCAGTCCTCAGACAAAATCGCAATCAGTGTCGAAATTGGTGCCGAAACCCTAGCCGCATGAACGAACCTGGGCGCGAAAATGACAACTACGATAGCACAAGGCTAGCAAGAGAGACAGCTACCTGACGACAGAAGAAGGCAGGAGAGGAAAGTCAGTGGGCAGTGCAGCCAGAGTGGACGGCCATGGAGAGATCGTGCAACGGAGGCAGGGAGAGGAGGTTGGGATGGAAGAACGGGCGGAGGGGGGGTGAGAAGGAGGCGACGGGCCAGTGAGCTTAGGGGCAGAGTGACGTGGGGCTATGGAAGAAGTGAGAGTGAGACAAGAAAGACGACGACGAGGGGATGGAGGTTGGCATGGAAGCTAGGCAACGATTAGATGCAAGAGAGAGGGATGCAGCTCGGCCGACACACAGCGTTGTTGTGAAACAACAAGACCACAAGCTCTCCTTCAGTGCGAGGAGACGACGACGATAACAGTCCCCTCTCGGTGGTCGAAGCCTACTCCTCCCCCCTCTCTCTCCCTAACCCACTATTACTCTATCCATTAATTTTAATGTAGAATATAACAAAATAAAAAAACAACAACAACTATGTTTTGAGTTTTTTCAACCATTCATAATCATACCATAGTTATTATATGTGTACACTTTTTTAATAAGTTTCGAATTTGAATGTAATGTATGCCATCTTTACTATAGTTTATATATATATATATATATATATATTTTTAATTATTATTATTTATTAATGCAAAGGATGATATCTCCATCTACTATCCACTTTTATTAATGCCAACAAGAATTTTGATTTTGGATGCTTATGTATTAGTAAGTTATTGCTCCATTGTTTTCTTCATCCATTTTTTTGTTTATATTGAATCAAAATACAATTATAAGTTCTATAAAATTGCATCAATATTTTATGTTGTAATTTATTTAGTAGTGCAATCATGTTGTAATTTTTATACTATAATAGATCTTATCTTAAAGATTTATATTTTTTTTGTAAAATATTAAAATGGATCCTATTATACTTTTTACAAAGCAAGTTGCATTATTCTTAATTTTTTTAAGTGAGATGTTATTTATTTTTAGGTTTAAAACTACACATATTTAGTTTTATTTAAATAAATAAAAGTGTGATGAATAAAATGCTAAAAAATACGTATTTAAAAAATCAAATGATTATTATCAAAAAAACAAAGTAAAATGAATATATTAATTGTCTTTTGTCATGGATATATTTATAGTTATTTAGTTAATCTGAATAGGTAGAAGTATGTAAAAGTAGTATAATTTAATAATTTCTTATAGAGAAGCTTTCTAGAAGCTTCATAGACATGGTTTCATCTTTATATATGTTTGTAGGTTATTGGTAGATTAGAAACTTGGCCAACAAATTAGTCATGTGTCACACATATTGGTAGCTTGTAGTACAAGCTAACAATATGACATACTTATAAGAAACTTGTCTTGTAAGTCAAAACATATGTCTTGCAAATTAAATACATGTCAAAGGGCCTATAGAATGTTGCCACATAGTTCTAAAGTAGATAAAATACATAGAGGTAAGACAAAAGCTTTTATCACTCTTGTCAATTCTTTTCTTGCTTTTAGTTTAGTTTCAAGAGTCTTTAGTTTTCTAGTCTTTGGTAATAGCCATTCCAATTTCTTATTCAATATATTTACTTTCTTATTTCTACTTTGTAAACTCTCTTTGATTCATTTCTCAATTGTTTACATATTTCTTTTAAATTATTATTTTTAATAAATTGACAAGAATACTAACTCATTATTCTCGACTTATTTTTAGAAGTTAGTGGATTACCCCACTTCTATTGTTGTGTTTTAAAGGTTATAAATTATCCATCTCAAATTAACATTTATTTTTCAAATACTATTTTTTTTTAAAGACAATAGATTATCCTTCTTTGTGGAAATTTTCATTTGATATTATAATTTGTAGATTAACCTCCTCTAATTTGACTTGTGAATTTATTAAGTTCCTTGAAATAGAAGGAAAAATCATGGATACTATACTTAAAAGTAGTAAAAATAGATTTGTAACTATTGCAAATCTTCATAAGCTTGTCAATACTCTTAGGATAGAATTTTATCCATCACTAATACCAAACATAGAAGCACTATTCCTATGTATATATAAAAATTCTAGAATCTACACTAAGAAGTTGTGCAGTTAAAGGAAGCAAGTACATCAATCCCACTACCAAATTCAAAAAGTCTTGTTTTTACAAGCACAAGAGATGCAAGGATAAGTATGCTCAAGAAGTTTAATGGAATCACAATCAGCTATTATATATGCTGTTGAATTCCAAAACCTCACTTATGAAGTGGATTAGAATGACAAAGCCTTTATTAATTAATTTTCATATGGATTGAAAGATAATATTAAAGATTTGTTAGTAATAATGTCAAAAGAATATCCTTTAAAATAATTTATTGCTCAAGCTATTGTATGAAACAATCTACTATTTAAAAAGCAAGAAGAACAAAGATTTGATTAAAGAAGAATAAGTCAAACAATGATGGTAATTTCTAATTTCATAAACTTATTTATCTAAGCCAAAACCAATGCAATTTATTATAATATATTTTAAATCTCTCACTAAGCAAGAAAAGACTCAATGTTATGAAGAAGATTTGTGGCTATATTGTGGAGAAGCTGAACACATTACTCAACATTTTTTAAAGAAAAATTGCAATGATAAAATCAGGAGCATGGTTGCCAAATAAGACAATGTATTAGAAAAAAAGTTTTTTCAACTATAATAAGGGCCATATAGCTAAAATCATAAGCAACGTCTAATCTTATTTAGACTCCCATTTTATTTTATAATAGATGTGCAAATTTCTCACTTTATTTTATAATTGATGTATATTTAAGTTCTAAAAATCACAAAATCTTTGCCTGATTAGATTTAAAAGCCTCAACTTATTTTATAGCCAAAGACTTTGTCAAGAAACAATAAATATTTTTAGTCAAGAAAATTAAATCTATACAAGTCATAGATAGTCATTTATTGTCTTCTAGAGATATTATCCATAAGATTGTTCCTGTAAATGTAGCAATAAAAGATTATATAAGCATAACAATATTTAATGTGATAAGTTCTCTTTTCAATTCAATTATTTTATGATTATTATGGTTAAAAAAATATAATCTATAAGTAAATTAAAATTTTCATAATCTTAATTTTTTCATAATTTAATTCAAAATTTTATTAATCAAGTAAAAATATGTATGTGTAGCACATTCAATCTTCTACTAGTAGATTCAAGCGCTTTCATGTTGTCGTGATATAACACAACTAATAGGTGAAAGAGTATGGAAATTATTTTAATATAGGAGATCTTAGTTCAAAGTATTAGAGCAAAGTATCTTAGAAATATAGTTAATAGTCAAAAGGGTAGTAAAACTAAAAGGATCAATGCTGCCTTTTTAGAAAGGTGACTTCTATTTACTTTGTAGGACCATAAATAAGGCAAAACAAAGTAGATTGGAAAAATAAATGATATAGGCTTCTTCAAAAGAAAGTTAATAGTAAATTCTAGCAAAATTTACTTAGAAAAACTAGATATTGATACCTGGAGAGGGCTGGTTATGAACCAGGGTCGAAATCAGACCCTGAGGCACAAAATTTAGTCTCAACAACAACTCCAGGTTTCTTTTGCAGATCAGAAAGTGGAGTTTGATAGTAGACAAGATAAGGTTTCTATGAGCATTGGTTTTGAATGAATTGAATTTGTAATGACTTTGTAAGAGCTTGAAAAGTCAAGTTTTTTTTTGGATGACTTAGCTTTTGTGAAATAAAATAAGTTTGATGTTTTAGGCAATTTCAAGAGTTTTGTAATAGATCTGTAAGTAAAATTTTGTAGATTAATAATTATAATTGTGCTTAATATGTGTTATAAATTTTAGCTTGATCTAATAATTGAATTGAGTGTTATTGAGGTTTAAGTGGGCCAAGGTCTCAAAAAATAGAATTTTAGGTCCAGTGAGGGTTTTTAAGATTTTTTACAATCTGGTATTTGGATTGGAGTGAAATTTATGGATAAAGATAGTAGACTTATTTTTCTATATATATAAAAAGTTTGAGATCAATCGAAGGGTGAAAAGGAGAGATATTGGCTCTAGAAAATTGGCATCAAGGTTAGAGAAGGAGGTTGGCCAATATCCAAACACGTTTTTGAGGTTATTGTCTATTTGGTAATTTTGATCCTTTTCAAATTTTTTGTGCTTGTTTTCAACTTAGTTTTCAAGAAGTGTGCAAAATTTGAGTTAAGATCAATAGTTCATTCATTAGTTATTGAGGTTTAAATCTGTTATAGAAATTACTAGGGTTTGATTAGGATTTGATTTAGGATTAGGATTTGGTTAGGATTTGGTTAGGATTTAGGATTTGGTTTAGGATTTAGGATTTAGTTCAGGGTTTAAGGTTTTATTAGGATTTGATTTAGGATTTAGGATTTAGTTCAGGATTTAAGGTTTTATTAGGATTTGATTTAGGATTTAGGATTTTGTTAGGATTTGATTCAAAGTTAGGGTTTAGTTAAGGTTTGATTTAGGGTTAGGATTTGATTAGGATTTGATTTAGGATTTAAGGTTTGATTAGGATTTGGTTTAGAGTTTAGGATTTGATTAAGATTTGATTTAGGATTTGATTAGGATTTGGCTTAGGATTTGATTAGGATTTGGCTTAGGATTTAGGATTTTATTAGGCTTTGTTTAGGGTTTAAGATTTAGTTAGTTTTTGGCCTAAAGTTTGAATGAAGTCCAATAGGATTTTAACTAGGATTAAATTAAGATTGAATTGAGATATATTTGAGATATATTTGTGATCATTGTAATATTTCTTTAAGATTTTTTATTATTTCTTTGTAATTTCTTTGAGGTTTCTTTGAATTTGATTAAAACTTACTTAGCATTGTTATGGTTTAATTAGAGTTTAGTTAATATTCTATTAAAATTAGGATTTTATTATTGTAATTTCTATTCTACCTTCTATAGCCAAGTGCTCAGAGCATTCTCAAGTAAGACTTCATATATTACGACAATGTATGTGATAAAAGATAGATAATCTTTTGCTATATATACTATATTAATATTTAATAGTGAAAAGATGTCAAGTCGTATCCCTAGTTAGTAACAAGATTTTTAAATTTTTTTTAAAAAGAATTATATATACATAGATATATATATATATATATATATATATATATACTAGTTCAGAGCATTGATCCTATGATAATTCAATTAATCTTCAAGAAAGAGCTCAATTGCCATTTGAACCAATCTATAGCTTATTGCAAAATAAATTAGTGGTATTAATGAAGTACATTGTTGAGAACTTGACTAAAAATTTTATATGTCATTCAAAATCTCTAATAGAAGCTCTTATCTTATTTG